CCGCGACTGCTGTCAGTGCTGGTCGCCCTGCTATTGCCCCCGCTCTGGTTCTGGGTCCGGCTCCGGCTCCCCCTAGACGGAGGCGTGTTTCTCCCACGACGTTCTCCGCTCCGGCTGCGCCCACGCCTAGACGAAGGATTGGTGCGCTGTTGTCGTTCTGCGCTCCGACTCGGATTGGTGCGCTGTTGACGTTCTGCGCTCCGACTCCTGCTCCGGCGATGGCGACTCGCCGGCGAAGACCTGGTAGGCTGGTTCCCCACGGCTCGCCCTCGCCTGTTTACTCCGACGCCGCGCCTTCGCGAAGACTCGGTGGAGCGGTGGTGGTCGTCCGTCCCGCTCTTGGCCGTCGAATCCCGGTCGCCCCAACGGTTCTTCCAGCTCTTGGGCACCGGAGCCGCCGACCTACTGAAGTCCTTGTCTTCTCCAGAACCATGTGCAGGGCGTGAAGAGGCCTGCCGGGGGGCTTGTAGATCGTGCTTGAAGTCGTTGGTCGAGGCGGCACGAGCAAGAGGCAGCTGGAGTCCTGCCTCCTGGGTCACCACCGACGTTCCTTGAGGACCTTCAGGAAAGGTGGCACGGCGGAGAGCGAACAAAAGCTGGAGCACAGACTGCCGCGAAGAAGGCGGAAGTTTCGCGAGGTACGGTGTGTGGTAGATGTGCCCGAAAGCAACGGTGTGCGGTGGTGGGAATTGTGCACGGACAAGTTGTTTGATGCCAGCCCATGCAAAAAGAGCTGCCAATCTGTCCTCATCGTGGAAGGTGACACCTTCTGCAGGCATCTCCAGTGGGCGGGACAGGAACGCTGTATCACCAATGTGGAACTCGTACACCGTGGTTGCCGCCGCAAACGATGCTCCGTCTTCAGCACCAGCCGGAAGACCCAAAGTCACCGAAAAATCCAAAGTCGCTGTCCTCTTCCGCTCCTTCTCGTTCGTTGGAGAAGCCGCCACCTCCCGCTCCTTCTCGTGCGGCGAGGGAGTACGATGGGAACCAAGGTGCACCTGGGATTGCGTGGGGGTGGGGACGATAACACGGCGACGGGGGTGGGGGGCTGCTCGCGGGTCCTAAGGCGGGGCTCCAGCTCCTTCAGCCGAGATCGGAGCGCCCCCTGCTTCGCCCTAGCCGCTTGGAGATACGCCTCACGCTCCGCCAGAACAGCCGCACGCTCCTCCTCCTGCTTCCTCGCCGCAGCAGCCAGAGCAGCCTCACGCTCCTCCTCCTGCTTCCTCGCCGCAGCAGCCCGAACAGCCTCGCGCTCCTCCTCCTGCTTCCTCGCCGCTGCGGCCAGAGCAGCCTCCCGTTCCTCCAAGCGCTCCGCGTCCTCGCGCTTCGCCTGCTCTCGCGCCTCCGCCTCTGCTATCTTCCCGGCAAGACTGTCGCACCACATCTCGTTCAACTTTGGTACGCCATAAACTCGTCGTGGGGCAAGAGGGTTAATTTCTCTTCCGGCGAAAGCGAGAAAGGAGGAACGAAAAGGGGGGAATCGGACGACAGATGGGCCGCTTCTACAATATCCTCCAGAGAGACACGTCCGGTGTTGTAGGCCCGCTCCAGTTCCGCCGGATCTGCTGTGGCGATGTTGTCCAGCAAATTATCGACGGTGAACACCATGGGCATGAGGGGGTTCTCGTCTTCTGCACTCGCCGCTGGAAACTACTCTGCAGTGGGAGCCTCGCCCTCGGGTTCGTAGTCGAGGATTTCCACATCGTCGCCCAGGAGTTCCACGTTGCCGCTGGACATGGAGTCCTCTTTGTTAACAAGAACAGGGCCAGAGAGAGGGTAGCTACGATCGATTGTGGAAAGGGCAGCAGGGCCAGAAACAGCAGACGTTGGATAACCAACCGCAGTTGAGGCAGCAGCACCAAGAGCAGCAGAAGCAGTTCCAAAAGCACACCATGCCACGCACAAACAGCAGTAGAAGCTAGCACAATAGGGCCGNCAACTTCGGGAAAAGCAAGCCGAGGTCCATGCGAAAGGCGGAGATATCCATAGGATAGCATACGCCCAGTGATACAAGCTTGGTGCACACGAGGTTGAAGCGGATCCAACCAAGCAGAAAAAGCGTCCAAAAGCACACCATGCCACGCACAAACAGCAGTAGAAGCTAGCACAATAGGGCCGGTGTTGCATGGAGACACGAGGTTTTCCGACCAAAAGACACGCAGAGCAGCACGGCGTTCCTCCGCAACTGGTGCCGAAGTGCGAGCAAAGACCGCTGTGGGTTTGCGCTGTTGAAAGGTTTCCAATTCAAATGCTTTGAGGGTGAAAGATTCCCCGAAAACAAGTGCCATGTGATTTCGAAAAATGGAGGGAAGGCTGGTGGGGCGGCTGACACCCAATTTGTGTGCACACATCGCGTTCCAAGTCGATGCAAGCCGAGTCAAATCGGAGAGCACAACAGGAAAATCCGCGGACATCGGCCGGCACGCCGGCATGAATGCAGTAGAGGTGGTAGCAGACGTGGGAAGCATGCTGTCATCTCGGGTCCCACTACACAAGGCCAACAACTCAAGACGCTCCATGCAGAGGGTATCCGCCACATAAATCACTTCATGGACCGCCGATGCAGACAAAATAGCTTTCGAGGGACGGCGAACGTACGAGAAATCACCCAGAACATCGCGATGGCCTCCGAGGCGCGTATCCTTTGCAAGGTCCCAGTCCCGCGGGCGCTTCGCAAAAGCATCACAAGCCAGCATCTCTACAGGAGAGGAAGCAGAGCAGAGGCTAAGTCTAGATTCTCGTGGGTGGTGAGACCAAATAACTAGCAACCCGGTGGTTGTGAAAAAAACGTAGCAACAACACACAGCAGTGTGGAAGCCGCGTCCAGCACCCGCTTACTGTGCAATGCCAGCTGACGCCAAGTTTCAAGGAGTGAAGCCGTGGGCGGTAGCTTGCTCCTAGGGATAGATGAAGGTTCTGTCGTTGACACGCTTGTCCACGACCACGTCGAGATGGGCAAGTTGCTCGTTATTGCTGAGAGACGATCAGCAAAGGTCTGGGATGAAGTGGGGATCCAACTTCATCTCAGGGGGTACACAGATTAGACAATTCTAAGGGGGTAGGGGTCAGAAGGGTATACTTCCTGACCGACCCGCATCCTATCAAGAATAAGATGTACCCTATTCATGCTGGCAGCCACACTCCTTAACAAATACATACAGTGAATCTGCTCAGGGAATACAGTGTCAGTGAATCATCAACAAGTACAGTGTTGTTGTTTTGTTGTTTTTCTCCCATCGTCGGATTCTGTCGTCTGCCCCTCTGGCCCCTATCCTCCACTTCTACCAGCTAGACGACCCAACCGGGGTCACATAGGAGGGGGGGGTTGGACCCCCTCCTGCGGTTCCTGCCTGAGATATTTCTATCGCGAGAAGGGGCAATCCCTTCCCTCGCGACTTATGAAGTCGATCAAGTTTACTAACAACGAGCTTTGCAGCGCGTCGCTTCCAACGGAGACCAGGATTTAATAAGCGAGAAAAAACTCACTCTGTCGGGACTCGAACCCATGACCTGGCCCTTAGCAGGCTACGAGGATACCCACTAGACCACCGGGGCGACCGGCAGTGTGTGTGATCAGGAATACACACAATGTATTTGTCCAGGAAATACAGTATGTACTACATCGAGCACTGCACCATCCAAACACGGTGCCAAGAGGCGCCCGTAAGCACAGAGGAGTGCCAACAATGCAGGTGGGGTGCCCGTTGTTGACGGGGAGTGTCGTTGTTGATGAGGGGGAGAGTGCCCCAAACCGCCAGGGGGGGGGCGATATCGGA